AATAGTCCATCGTTTCAAACCAGTGCACGGCTAGCGTCAGCTGAGTTCAAAGCACAAAGAGCACGCAGCACATCTTTCGCTGCACCTCTCCAAATTCACCGACGAGCTTTGCTCTCCTCCTCCTGCAAAGCCAGCCCAAGCTCTGGTGTGCACAAGCTCCAGCCGTCTCCGCGGGCTGGCCAGTCAGGAGCGGAACTGCTCGATAGCTTTCCGGCCCCAGCCAGCTACGCTTCAACATCTCCTAGCTCTCTTACTCCTTTTGGTGTGATTCCTGCCAACCCGTCATGCCTGATTTTCCACTGTGGCTTCTTGGAGATGACATGAGGCATTAAACAACACTTAGCAACTCAGTTTTACTTGCCTCGGAGCTCCCCCCCAAACTCTGCAAGTGAAGGTCAGCCCTTTATTTGCTAAGATCCCACCAAGATAGTCACAGGGACAGAGTTGGCAATGGATTTGAGAAAGCGCCGGAGTTAATGTACTCTCATGTGTGACAGAAGCAGCTTTCTTGTTTACTAAACGAAACATCTGCAGTGCTTACAATCAGAATTTTACTATGCTTAACAATTTAATATCGAGAGACTATATTAGCTGTCAGTAGTGTTACCAGTATTACCAGAAGCTCCTAAACAAACGAAACTGCTGCCCAACACGGCCAGATCACTAATTAGCAGGTCTCAAAGGCAGCTGGTTACTGTTAAAGGCAGTAAGGTGAAGAGGCGGGCAGAACCTCTCTTCTCTTTGCCCAGCTGCCAAAGCTCTAGTTATTAAGTTCACACAGATTCCTGGCATCAAAAGGACTCAAGTCTCCCCTCAGGTCGCATATAGTATAGCACTTTCAGGGGCAAAAGTCTGCCTTAAGTCTGTAGTTTTCAAATCTTGATACCTAATGCTAGGTTTGAAATTGTAACTTGAACTTCTACAGGTATTGTGAACCTGCATGTGCTACAGAGCAACTGAACTCGAAGCACTCAACCACACTGAAGACTCAAGACGGTTTTTTTCAGGTACATCTGAGAGCACCTTTTTTAAAGGTTTTTTAAAACGTTTCGCTGAAATTAAAATGTTCATTTGAAAATGCTGAGCTTAGTGTAAAATCTATGGTGTCTTCCATGGTCGGAACAGTTTACATGGAAAGAAACTTTATTTCACTCAGTGATAACTTCAATAAATGGTTTCCCACAAATAAAACTTAATGTATTTTTGCGGCTATCTAATAATTATTAGACACAACTTATGCATCTAGTATGTGTTTTTAAAAATCAGTATTTTAACTGAGTGATTGTTAATCTATTATCTCTGCTTACATGACAGCAATTAAGAATTTTCAAAAATATCAGTGTTCCCCTGAAATAGGAAAATAAATAAAATAAACAGGCCCTTCTTAAAATGAGCATATGTTTAAGAGTCCAGAAATAATAATGTACCAGCCAGCTTATAACCCTTATTTAATCTCAACTATTCAGGAAAATTATATTTAAGCACAAAAATACTGTCTTTCAACAGTCAGTGTTTGCTCCTGAGTGTTATGTTAAAGCAGTATGCAAGAAGTGTCAACAACAATCAAAAATCAAAGATTAATTATTCTAGAAATATATTTTTAATGCTAATGAAGCTCTTCTCTTTGGTCAGAATATTTCATTTTTAACACACTTCTGCTTTTGTACCTCCAGCAATTTTAAACATATATATTTTTTTGATTTTAACAGATATAGAGTATAACAAGAAAAAAATAAGTGTATATATAAGTATAACAGGAAAAAAATGTGTGACAGGAAATTAACAAATGCTAATTTTTGATTCTGCAATAATGAGTAGCACTATTGTACATGTTTCCTTTCTGCAGCGGGAATTTAAAAGTCTGTAGTGAATGCAATAAGTATGTCAGTGGAGAGCAGGGAGAGAGCTGTTCAAAATCATGTGCAGACACAGTCTCTTGACAGAAATCTGCTTCCTTCAGTGTCTGCAGTTCTCGCTGTGCAATACGGTGAAATGTAAGCATGCCACAACAGAAACCAATACCAACAGGCATTTGCAAAAGCCTCTTAAGATACAATTTCCCCCACCTCCTTTCAACACTAACACAACACAGAATATAAGGTGCGGCTTTCTGACTACGAACACTCAACAAGTCTCTAAAATGCCCTGCAGTGTGCTTCACGCTTCTGACAGGAGAGCCACTGCTGTCAGTTAGCCAGAAGCCCCCATCAGACTCTGACATGTCCTGGGGCTTGGCCATCTCAAGCTTACGTGGTTGTTCCCTGTCAGGCCATCTCAAAGAAAGCAGCCTCACAGGGAAACCAGGGAACTGTGCGTCTAGGCCAGCACCTCTCAAGGAAGTAAAAATTAAGCTTACCGAGAAACAGTTAATGTAAATTGCAGACTAGGGTCAGATTCTGCTGTCCTTTGGCAGGACCAGAAGTACTCTGATGGAATGAAAATAAGAATCGGCAGCATAGTGTGAAATGAATCCTTTTGGCTGACGATATAACTGACAGTAAACTGAGTGGACTGTTGTAGCTCAGCATGCAGAGAGTATAAACTGGTACCCTCACTCTTTCTCCTCCTTCTCTGCCATTCCATTACAGCCTCACATGGAGGACTTGAGTTTAAACAAAATGCGTTGTATATGCCTCCCATGTCCTGCTATGCTTTTTTAGTGTTCTGCCTTCCTTTACTGGCTCCTTTTGAGAATCAACATTGGAAACTAAAGAATAAGGGAATGTGTAGTGCTGTATGTCGGGACCCAAATCGTGACCTACAGGATACATCAGCAGAGTAGTCAAGAAGTGAGAAGTTGAATAAAGATATTAATGAGAACAGTACTGGCATGGAGTAGTATCGTCTTCCTTTCAGTTCAGGGAGACGCTTTGCTGAATATATAAATAATTCGCCATGGAAGGTAAAGGAAGTCTACTCATTCCTGGTCCTAAAGAGGATGCAGACAGTTCTGCCAAACTTATAGCTGCAGGGGACTCTTAAGTCATGGATCATTACTAGGGGCAAAACCAAAAACGCTTACAGGAACTTTAGCATTCACGCTCAACACTGTGAAACACTGGAACATAAGCAATTTACTAAAGATACCCTTAGCCCTTTGGTACATACAGATGCTTCCTGACTTTCTTTGCCTTGACATGGCATGTCATGGACTACTGCTCTATTACACATGGAACTCAATCTTCTGCCCCTTTGCCCTTTCCAGAAAAGCGCTAGAAAGCAAGCTCGTTTCCTCTCAGTTTTTCTTATGTCCCCAGTGTCCTGATGCAAAAAATGGAACTTGGACAAATAAACAGATTGCTCTAAAGATAGGATTCAGGGGGTAGCCTTCAATTCAATCAGCAAAGGATATAGAAAGTTTGCAGCTACTATTTTAGTCTCTAAATTAGAACACTGGCTCTTTTGTGAAGAATCTGAAACATCTGTGCAAATAAACACAAGCAGGACAAAAGTGTTCCTCCCCCAAAACCGTCTCCTCCCACAACATCCCATTTTTTGCAGATGTAAGAACACCGACCCTGTGTGCACACACTCTGGTTAGGCCACTCTACATGTGGTGAACGAACGTGTAACTCCTAGGCTGAAGTAGTATAGAGACCCCAAGATGCATCACCCAAGGAAAAATAAGGTATTTGAGGGGATCATGCTTGCTACTCACACTGTGCACACCCAGGGCCTTCCAAATGGCAAAACTGAGCAATCCAACTCCGCACCACGCATAGAGTGAGCCCCATCCTAGGGCTCGTAAGGCCAGTGATGAACCACTCTCTGGTAATGCAGCTGTGGCAGTAATCCCCTAGAACCAAAAACAAAGTGATCAAGAAAAAGTGAACAATAATTGGAAAAAAAACTAAAAAAAATTAACTTATCCCACCAGTCAAAATACAAAACTGAATCAAGACCAGTCACAAGCCCTTATGCCAATGACATCGGAACATAATCATTGTTTGTCATTGATTTGTACGTCATTGTACGTCATGATCTTGGGGCAGTAAGGGTGGTGAGCAACCATTGGCCTACAGGTCTTTATCTGCACTCCTGAAACAGCAGATTTGGAAACTGGAGGAACCCGAGTAGCTTTCAGCTTGACACAGAGAGGGTATAACAGTGACTGAAACACCAATTTCGAGGGGCTGCAACTCTGAAAGAGCTCTGGAAACTATTTAGGAAAATTTTGTAAAGAGCAAACAACAACGCTGAACCCATCCCCCTGCAGAGTTCACCAAGTGGCGACATAGAAAATGCTCTGCAGTCTCCATACTTCTCATTTTTGTCAGAAATAAGAGTAGGTGGTTTTAACTACTTGTCAAGATACTGCTGCATAAGAGTCTGCCATGAGACGTGTCCTGAAAACACAAAACACTGTCACTTGGAAAAGCCACCTCAGGCCACGAAGAACGGAGCCTCAGCCATCACAGGGTCCCAGCCACAACGAAACCTCCTCTGTCGCAGCACATAAATGCACATTGCAGCTACCAGGGGCATGAGCCACACGCTGGCTGACATCAATCAATTTGCACCGCACGTTCACCGTTAGCCAGCCCTTCTCATCTCGCAACACCCACCTTACTGTACCTATTTGGTATAGGACAGCTTCAACCTGTGTAGCCCACAACAGCAGTAAGACAGACATAATCCTCTTGCTCATAGTGGTAAATGTCAGCAAGAGGGTTTGTGTTTTTTCCCCAAAGGATCACTGTTCAATTCTTCACATAGAAACATAGATTTCAGATGGTAACTGTTAAAGACTGGCATCTACGGTCCTTACACAACTGAACAGTACTACTTACCGGGTATCTCAGGAAAAAAAACAATTATTGCTCAGAGATAAACATAAATGAGACTGCAAGCATACAAATATATCCAATAAAGAATTATTTCATTTATTGTCTAAGATACTGAAAAGTGAAATTATCTTGCGGAATGATCCAAAAAATTTTCCTCCAAAACATGTCAAAGAGCTGCACTTCTCTATTCAACACAAAAAGTGGGAAAAAATCTTTCATATTCTTGCATTAAAAAGACTTCAAATTTAATTATTTTTTTAAAAAATGGTTCTCTTTCTTCTTTGATATAATTAAACATATATAGTGTCTATCACTGTGGTATTTGGTCAGTGAAATAGCACCAGTAGTTTTTTTCCTCTTGGCTTTGTACTTATTGACATGTTAAAATGATCCTCAGACAATCCTCAGCATTAACACTTTTCCTTAGGATTTAGCTGTAGGCACAGTTACCCAAGGACAAACACACACTTGCAAAGGGCACAAGCAAAATGTATCTTGATCCTTATTTATTCTGATTTGGACATCCCAAAGTGGAAGCTGTTAACAAAACAATGCTGTGTAAGCATACACATACATGCACACAGACACAAAGAGCAGAGATCTCTAGTCACACTATTATACCAGGTCCTATTATTTCCTTACCACAACTAATGACCTTTCATAACTCTTTCAGTAGGGACTGCTTTGAGTAGATTTAAAATGCTAAGGATTATTTCTGACACTGTTCCTGCTAACCATATACAACAACATGCAGAAAAATTTCTCCCATTTGGAAGATGGGAAACGAATATACAAAAATATTTTCTACACAGAATCTTTAAATAGGAGTCATTATCGTGAAAATTGCTGGCAAAAAACCCCCCAAAAAACCCACCCGAATACTATTTAAATGCTTTATTGCCCCAGAAAAATAGTGGTAAATGGAAACAGTTGATCTGGTTTTACTGACAGCAGTCAAACAGCATTCAGTCACAGGCTGATTCCTCAGGGTATTAAGTACACAGATAAGGATTTCTGTAAATAAGACAGTTTGTTATATGATTACCAGACGCTGTTCAGAGCATCAAGAAAGCTGATTAATGAAACGCTAAAACATTTAGAAAGACAACAGTCTTTTGTTTAAAATTTAAAAATGTAAAAAGACAACAATGGGAGAAAAAGATGTCACCAACAAAATAACATTTTTAAGAGAACTGAGTTTTATTCACGAGCCCATTATTCTATGCACAGATTGTTTTCTCTTCACTACTGCTCCTATACTTTTTTAAAAAAGCAACTCTTTAATTTTAAAAATAAGCTATTAAACAATACTTGGGTCTTTCTAAAAACCAGGCCAAGAAAATATAGGGCAGAATTAGCTGATTTGGTTACCAAAATATATGCTTCATATGTAATTTTTTTTTTTCTTGAGGATATAAGGAGGAAGTGGGAGAAGGAGAAATGACATTGGTTTTTTCAGACAAAGGCCTCAATCCTGTAACTATCCCCTTGTGGATAAGAGTGTGTCTGAAAGGAAGCAGTGCCTAAAATAAATGGTGTGTTCAACTGTTTTGGTCGATTGTATTCAGCGTGTTTACTGTTTTGTATGATCTATCCCATTGTAAAATTAAACACCTGGATAAATGCTGGTAAAACTGGACACTTATCACAAGGAGGCTGCTGCATCTGAGCATTTAATTTTAACATCCCCCCCCATCATTTCTTAACTGAAGGTCTCTGCAGTGGTTCATCACTAAACAGGATTATGTAATCTCAGTTTCAAGTCAATCTGGGCACCTGTCCTACAAATGCTTACATTTACTTTACTTCACTACCATGAAGGAGGTACAGTAGGTGCAATTTCAGCTTTATCTCTTGCCAGTAATGCTGATGCTGACCCTGAGCAGGGTCTCATACTGTTGCTTCCTGGAAATCTGAATGCAGTCATGAAGCCATGATGCTGTGATGCTATACCTTCCCCTCTAAATTGCTATTTTTTCCTTCCCTGAAACTATTTAAATCTGTCCCAGGCTGCATTATGTTTGCTTCCTGCTTCTACCTGACTTGCATGCTGCCATTTTACTGACACAAAAACTGGCACAAGCCAGCAAAGGTGCTGAAAGAACAGGTCTCGCATTTCTTCCCAATGTTAGGCATCAATTCTCATCCCTTTGGACCTTCCCCCAAGCTTCTGCCAGCACAGTCACTGCAGTCATGCAGTGAAGGGGATCAGAAGACTGATCTGGACTAAAATTAATGCAGGAAATTAAAAAAACATAGAATTAACTAGTACCATCTCACCAACGCAGTAGCACAAGTATTGGTGCCTTTACCAGGGGCAGGAATGAATGGCCAGAAACCAAGGGCTGTGTCGTGGTTTAACCAACCACGCAGCCGCTCACTCACTCCCCCCCCCAGTGGGACGGGGAGAGAATCGGAAGGGTAAGAGTGAGAAAAACTCGTGAGTTGAGATAAAGACAGTTTAATAAAACAGAAAAGGGAGAATAATAATGATAATGATAAAATATACAAAATAAGTGATGCACAATGCAATTGCTCACCCCCCGCGCTGACCGATAACCAGGTAGCGATCGGTACTTCCTGGATCACGCCTACCATTCATATACTGAGCATGACGTCACATGGTATGGAATACCCCATTGGCCAGCTGGGCTGGCTGTCCTGATTATGTTCCCTCCCATCTTGTGTACCTAGCTCAGTCAGTAGGCCTGGGAGCTGTCCTTGGACTAGGAGGGCACTTAGCAACAACTGAAAACATCAGTGTGTTATCAACATTCTCCTCATACTAAATCCAAAACACAGCACTAGCAAGAAATTTAACCCTATCCCAGCCGAAACCAGGACAGGCTGGTAGGATTACTTCTTTCAACAGCAATGCTGACTGATGTTTGCTTGAAGTACCTGTCAAACTATGGCCTTACCTTCACATGGATAAAAATAATATTTAGGCATTGAACATCTAAGAAGGATGCAATCATCTGTAGTTATTCATAGTTACGCTTTTGTTATTATACACTATGTGTTACTAAAAATGACTTGCAGTAAGTAACTATAAATTTAAGTAAGAAGGCTACTGCAAAACTGTTTACCTCGTTGGTACCTCAGAGAGCCTCTATAGACAGTTAACTCATTCTCAAAGTCTAGCCTTCCCTTTTGAAATTGCGCACCTACAAGTATCTTGACAAAAAAGCATCTTTCTACACTTTGCAATATTTAAGTTGAGGGGCCCAGGAATCACAGATTTTTTGCTAGCAAACTGTTGTAATTCATTTGCACAGATAGTAGCTGATACAGGTTTTCAGCAAAAATGGAAATGGTATGTATCACTTGGTGCCATTTCCAGCATATATATTCTTGAATGTCAATGTAATGTCACTCTTGATAAATTTCACACTGATAACAGGACAGCTCAGACAGCCAAGAATATACGCGAGTTGGAAAAAATGCAATGCTCAGGAAAAAGGAAGTTTTTAAAAAAAAAAAGATGTTAAGAAAAAGAGAGAAAACTTCCTTATATATATATATTTCTATAGCTTGGGAAATAACTTCTCATGGAGTTTTCTATTTTGTCTATTTCAAAAAACAGAGCCGTGTTTATTGTTGCTGAAAAGGCAATGGATGAGTTATGCCACAGCAGCCTACAGAGGAAAACAGGATGGCAAAGGAAGGATCTCATGCTCTTTGACCACAAAAGGAGATTGTGAGTGATCAGATACAAAGGCTGTGATAGAAAGTGCAATGGAAGAATTTTTTTTCTCTTGATATGCATTGTTATTGAATTAACATTTTAAAAATAAACACAACGGATCAGTTCTCTGATCTGTAATATATGTTGTATTTTAAGGGCTCGGTGGAGACTAGACTGATCAATTTTAAGGGCCCATTTTTGACATTTTCAGCAGTAACAAAGCATTAGTGAGGAAAAAAGTGTTCTTCAATTAAATATGCTGTATTTCAGATTAATATACCAACATGGTATAATTGTTAGCTTTGCTTTGCAATTTTTTTTCTTCACAATGCCCAGGTGGACCCTGTTAGTAATTGCACGAGATCAGATTATTTTTGTCCATCAGATCTCATAGTACCAAGTCACTACTCACTCTCATCAGTCCCCTTACACGGTGGGCAGGGAGTGTAGAACTTAAATTTTGACTAAATGATTCCACTTACATATCCCACAGCTTACGGGCTTTCTACCTCCTCATTCCCATCCTCACTGCAGGTCCCTCACTTCCCAATTTACTGTAGCACTATGGGACCACATGGTGAACTGGATCACTGAGGCTCCTGACTGAAGTGTGTTCACATCACAGAATCAAAACAGACCATCAATTCTATTCCACTATATAGCAGTAGTATGATTCCAGCAAACTGTGTAAGCTTTATGTATTTCAACTAATCTCAAGTACTAAAGTATTTAGCAGTGCCAACTCTGAACTGATTTTTAAATTAATCCTACCCCTATTGACTTCAATTAAGTCTAGGGTTCTTACCATCAACTTTGTACAGCCAAACTCCACATATATCAACATTTCTGTAAAGCATTTGATGCATTCTTATTCCCTGTGTATCACAATTGGAAAACAGTTTAAAAGGAACAAACCTTACTGAACCAGTCTGGGTTCTTCTTTTTTGTCATGGC